AATTTTTATTAAGAATTTTTAATTACAATAGTAAAAATCAATACGATCTAAACTTAGAGAAAGAGAACGGGAAAAAAGAATAAAAGTGCAAGAAAAAAGAAAAAGAAGAAAAAGAGAAGAAATATATAGAAGTGACTTCCAGCCTTCATAACAAGTATAAACAAATTTAATAACTCTTCACCCCCTATAAGGTTAAACAGATATCTCTTCATCCCATATCCCATCCCGTATGTATAAGCAAATCCATTAAACATTAACTTTTCAATCCTGGTGTTAGCAAAAAGTCCATAAAGGGTTACTAGAACTTTGCAAAAAAAAGGACTTATTTTAACTGTGATCAGATAAACCAATTTTATATTCCTTCTTTTTACTTCTAACAGTGTTAATCTTTAACTCAATCAAATATTGTTGCAGGATTTGATTTCTCTTCAATTCTTCTTTATCCCATCACACAGATTTCTTCAAGGCTTTAACAAGCCTGTTTTGTAGATCCAGTAAGAAAACATTTGAATTGAAGAGAAATCAAATCATTTGATTTCTCTTCAATTCTTCTTTATCCCATCACACAGATTTCTTCAAGGCTTTAACAAGCCTGTTTTGTAGATCCAGTAAGAAAACATTTTCCAGGTCATTCTCTTGGTTTATCATTTGTATTTCCCTTTTAATTTTTAAAACTTCAGCCAGTTTCTTTTGTAGATCCAGTAAAGTGTCCTTTTAAAAATCATTCTCTTGGCCTGTCATTTGTAGTTCCCTTTTCTCTGTCTTGTCAGATAAAATTTGTTCCACATCTGTCATTCCTTCATTAACATCTTTTAGACATAGTCTATCCATAGAAGCAGACTTCGTTACTGACAGTGGTTATATTGTAGTTACCAATTTCTGGCTCCATTCTTCAAAGATTTCCTTTAATATTTCAGATGTTATAACGTTTTATGTCATTTTGTAAGTCCCAGTATTAACTGACATCAAGAACAGCCTTGCTTTTTTTTTTCTCTTCTGCTTAGAACAGGGCACACATGTCAGAGGTGACACACCATGACATTTTGGGTGGCATGCCAGCATTCACCAGTACCCAATAACAACTATTCTCCCTGTTTGAGTTACCAAAGAAACTGAGTTTGTTTTACTTGTATTTCATTTGTGTAATTATTTGATGTTTCTTTATATAATACATAGCATCATGCATGATTGGACTATATTTTTTTTAAATAAATGAATATGTAAAGAATTGTTTCTCTTTTGTTTGTGGGGGGGATGACACAGCAGAGTCAGGTTAAGCATTTTCTGAATTTTTGACACACCAAGCCCAAAAGGTTCACCATCACTGCCTTAAAATCTTTAGTCACCTCTAACATCCAGTTTCTAAAATCATCAATCTTTGTTATGACTTACAATAACCAGGATAGGCAAAATAAGTCTGTTTCCCATGAGAAGCTGTTTATTTTTTATAGTTAATTCCAAAATCTTATAGTAAAGGTCAATAGTCCAAATTTATCTGGACCCTTAATCCATTTATAACTTTCTTAGGTCAAAATCTTATTTAGCAGTTTATGCTTTATTTCAAATTCTTTAAGTTCTTAAGGTTATAATTAATTTTTCTTTTGTTCAGAATTGAAAATAAACTCACCCAGTGAAGACTTTTTAAACTTCGCATTCCGAAGCTCTCTAATAGCTTAGAAGTAGTTAATGAACATTTTCTGAAAATGATTAGAAAATGAGGTTTGCGAGCTTAGTGTCCTTTAAAAGGCTCTGCCACAGTTGCGAGCAAGATGGCTGATTCTGTTGTCTCCCAGCACTCAAACCTGCAGAAAACCGCTGTCCTGCAGTTTTCTCATGAGGAGTAGCTGTCCAGAGCACGCATGGGCAATCTCCTGTCCTCTCCTTATCCGGAGAGGTTCCAAGGAACTAGTCTACTCGCTGGTTCCTTGGTCTTTGCCATGGTCATCTTCAGTTTGCCATACCTCCCCCAAAGTCTTGTAAGGTCTGTTTATGCGGTTATTAAAAGTCAGTACTAACTTGATGGCACATAATCAATCTTCTAAAAAAGATGCAGCTTTGTTATTTGTACCGCTGGTCAGAGTATGTGCCAAATGTTAAGAATTACGTGCATTTCCAAAGAGCAATCCTTGATTGTTTTGAAAGTGAGAAATTATATTTACAGCCTCTTAACCTTTTTTGTATACAGTTCTCATTCCCTGTTGTTGACGTCAATATTTGGTACATGGGAAATGTTTTTATAGAACAAAAAAATTGATTGTTTTCATCTAACATGGGTTTATTCTAGTATAATGAAAACTTTAAAGATTTTTAACAATGCAGCAGGGATTCTGTGGTTGTCATCCTAGGTACCTTCTGTGGGGAATATTTGGACAGTCTATGTGAGTTATATCTTTTAAAAAATAAAATGGGAGCAAACAAGTAGTCTAATGAGTGTGAATTTTAGGAGAGCTGAGGAGCCTAGTTCTATAGCTTTTATATGGCTGTTGGATTAAAATATAGGGAATGATAAACAGTACTTTTCATTAAACTCTTCCCCTTTCATCTTTTCCGTCATGATTCAAGTCTTGTGTGTTGCTGTTCAGGAAACATCTGCACGATGTACCTGAAATTTAAAATTTATTGGAATAGGCTGATGCTGAAGTTTGGAATATAAACTGTTCTTTTACCATCTGCTTGTTTAGAATAATATGGAGTACATTAAGAAAATATCTAAAGCCTTACACTCCTGTTGTTTTCTGTGAAGAGAATTTTGATAAACCTGTATTAGAGACATCTGTATTTTTTTCCTCCCTATAGGTATATGCTGGGCCTTTCAGCAGTTCCAGCTGTAATACAGTTTTTTGGCTTCCTCTTTCTTCCCGAAAGCCCCCGTTGGCTTATTCAGAAAGGACAGACTCAAAAGGCACGTAGAATTCTGTCACGGATGCGGGGAAATCAGGCAATAGATGACGAATATGATAGTATCAAGAATAACATAGAGGAGGAAGAAAAAGAAGTTGGTGCAGGTAGGCTGAATTTTTATTGTTCTTTGCATACTGTTAATCATAGGCTGTGACTGCATAGTAGCATTTTAATAAGTTACTTTAGCGCACATTTAAATGAAATAGTATCTGCTAAACTTGCCTTATAAAACAATTGTTTTCTTAGTTCTCTGCTGGAAGTTGGCTTATTGCCAGAGTGAATCAATCCAGACAGAGAATCAATTATTAAGAAACTGAAGTTTATAGTTCAAAGAGATAGTTCTGTTTAAATTAAAAGATATTTTGCACGTATCTTTCTAACTGCTTGGTGGAGAGCATTTTAATGTGAATCACGTGGTCCAAGCTTTCATGGACAAGAGTCCACTTAACACAGTAGTGATATTCTTATCATGCCTTATTCTCCTTCAGTCTGGGATTTCAACTAGAATAAGAGTTATCAGAACCTTTCAGTACTCAGTAGTTTAATTATTTAATGCATTATGTCATAATATTTTTGGCTAGTTTGAAAGGTTGTTGTTTGTACTTGAATTCTTCTGAATGTCCAACTGCTTTCGATCTGAGTGAGTGATTGCCCAGTTATGACTTGTGTGCTTCCTATATCTTAATTTTTGTGAAATAGCTTCATTTGTACCTTAGTTTAGCTTGAATAGAGATGCAACATTTATCTTAGAGCTAGCCAGGTTTATCTTGAAACCATGGCTTCAAGTTAGTTTCTGGCCTAAGGCAGCAATACTCCAAATGCAAGCATTAAAACTAAAAGATGGGTGCAACAAATGGAGAAAGAGAAGGTACTGCACAAATCTATTCCACATTTCTGATTGCAAAAATACAGTTTGGAGGTCTGGAATATGATGCTGGAACAAAAAAATGTATATAGCATAGTATGAGTAGAAGTACAAACAGGAGCCTGATAAGATTTGGTTGGACTTGATAGTTAGCCAAATGTATCCCTCCTACAAGAATGTTCCTATTCTACGCCCATCTCTGAATTGAAGTGAAATTATTTCTTGCAGTTGGAATATTTCAAGAGCCCAGCAGAAGTGCAGGGGAAAGCTTCCTCTGATTGTTTCAGCTCTTGATTTACATTTGTTTGAGTGGCAAGGGATGTTAATTTCGGTGATTGCTTGTACATACAGGTAGTCCTCAAGTTATGATGGCAATTGGGACCATAATTTCCATCGCTTACCAATGCAGTCCTAAAGTGCAAGGTCATGTGGCTGCGTCACTTGGCGACAGCCATCCCTGCAGTCCCCGTTACCATTGTTAAGTGAGGATCGTGAGTCGTTACGTGAGCACCTCTCACGACTTCCTGCCAACTTCCAACAACCAAAGTCAGTGGGGAAGCCAGCAGGAAGTTGCAACTCCCAGGCAGCTTTCAAGCGGGCCAGCAGGCAGATAAGTGGCTGCTGCTGGGTGGGAGAGGGTGTGCAAGTGGTGGGGGAGGCGTGGCACGAGTGCATCGAGGCTTCGGGAGGGTGTGTGGGTGGGAGAGACTTACCCAAGCAACTTGCAAGCTTCCTTGCTGGCTTCCCTGTTGACTTTGGTTGTTGGAAGTTGGCAGGGAAGATCACAAATGGTGATCATGTGACCGTGAGACTTTGCAACCATCGTAAGTACAAGCTGGTTGCCAAGTGCCCAGATTGCAATCATGTGCCTGCAGGGGGGCTGGGATGGCCAGAACTTCGAGGACCAGTCGTAACCACTACTCATTCAGCACTATAGTAACTTCAAATGGTTGTTCAAAGAAACATTGCTACAGAATTTTCAGGTCATATGACCTAGGTGAAGATTTTGATTTTGTCAGTGCTGTAAGAACTGTAAAGGAATGTGGTACATATATTTGTTTTCTTTTTCTTTTTTTCCTTCCTAGCATTTTTCCTGCAGGTGCAGGGTCCGCTTTTTTTGGATCAACCAAATGTTGATCCATGGTTGTGACAGGAATTGACCGACCGGCTTGTGGCCCGAGCCTGATGTTATGGACTGAGAGAGAACGGCTGGCCCAAAGTCACCCACCAGCTTTCATGCCTAAGCAGGACTAGAACTCTCAGTCTCCTGGCTTCTATCCTGGAGCTTTAACCACTAGATCAAACTGGCTCTCATGAATGTGGTACACACACACACATGCACACACACACAGACCCCTCAATCACAGGATGTTCACTCAACCAGGCTATAGAGGTGGAAGGACTTGTTCTGGTAGTTTTAAGCTTTATAACCTCTTGCTGTTCTGTTTTTTATCCCAGGGACTGAAGACATGTAAAAACAAATGCAAATGTACACCACTAGATCAAACTGGCTCTCATGAATGTGGTACACACACACACATGCACACACACACAGACCCCTCAATCACAGGATGTTCACTCAACCAGGCTATAGAGGTGGAAGGACTTGTTCTGGTAGTTTTAAGCTTTATAACCTCTTGCTGTTCTGTTTTTTATCCCAGGGACTGAAGACATGTAAAAACAAATGCAAATGTACACCTTTCCCCCCCGGTTTTTGAACCACATGCATTCTCACACACAAGCACACATTCATATTTACCCAACTCAAATTCTAGCAGGATAGGTTGGGTTTGGATTCCAGAACAATAAAGGCAGAAAACTCACATGCATGAAGCTGTTGAAATGATTACAGTTCTCGTCCAGTTTTATAGCTTCTTAGAAGGCTTGGTCAATCCCAGGTTAGTATTTATTTTTTTTTTTTTTGCCTCCTTGTATTCTTTTGATTTAGTGGCCTTGTCTTACAGGCTTTTGTTCTGAGAATCACTTCATCTTTTGAGAACACTATGTTGTTCTTGGAGGTTCCATTCTGTTATTTACTTTTTTCACATGCTTATAAACATAAAACTGCCTGAACAAATCCTTCCAGTTCTTTAGCCTGCTTGAGAGAATAATGAACTCCATCTTTCATACATATCAGTTTATACCTTCATGTAAATATATGGCACCAGATACAGATGAGAGCCAGTGTGGTGTAGCGGTTAAAATGCCTGACTAGGAATGGGAAGAACCAGATTCTTGACTTGTGTTAGTCACACTTGACTTGTGTGAGAAGCTAGATGGGTGACTCTGGACTGACATCCGCTTACTACTGTGGATGTCTTTATAGCATAGCCGGTGCTCCTTTCGTGAAGCTTTGTTACTTTTATTCATATGAAAATAGCAGACAACTATTTTTACATAATGAAGTTAACTTTATAAGCATGCTGATGTAGCTCAAGAATTCAGTTAATTTAAACAAGAAAGCCATTCTTTCTTTGCAAAATTGCAGTGATTGAATAAAATGCATTAAAGATATACTCCTGTGAAGTGTGTTGTGGAATAGAATAATTATTCTAAATCCCTAAATCCCTAATGACAACATTGAAAGTGCGTCGTTGGGGATGGGGATACTTTTGCAGATTGAATTAGACCATTAGGTAAGAGCCATATATTTTATGACTAATATTGTCAGAATAGTTCCATTAACAACAAGTAATATTTATGGTTATTTATCTTAATGAAGGAAAACAACCAGCTTTTATATGATAAACTAAACATTAAAAACTTTCAGAAAACTGCAATGAATACTGCACAACAAATATTACACAATATATGCTGTATAATATTTAATGAGTTCCTTTAGTATCCCAGTTTTGCTTTTTGTTTTAAATTAGCTCTTGTTAATACTGTAGTTCTTGCCAGGAATTTTACAGATTATTACACATGACTTTGCTATCTTTCAGTTTCAATAGTAACACTTAATTCTGCATTGACCTTTTAGACTATGTCTGCTTTTCTCTGCAGAATGGTTTAATCTGCAAAGTTACTAAATATTGTGCCAAGGTACAATGTCAGGGCATTATATTATTATTGCATTATTATTAATTTCATTTAAACAGTTAATATGGCCACCCATCTCAGAACTGTGACTTTGGGCAATAAACAGAAAAATAAAACCAAGGACAACAAAACAACACAATTATTAAAAAATAAAAACTAGAAACAATATAATGCATGCCAGCAGTCTAAAAAATCATTCCATTTTACATTTAAGAAGAAAACAGTGATTAAACAAACTAATCAACAGGGCTCACCTAATCTCTAACTAGTGGCCTCTGTTTTTTATTCCTAGCACTTATTTGTAATTTTTAAAATCTTTCATACGTTTGTTAGTGAACCTAGATCACATTAAATAATTCTTGGAAAGTATTAGCGTTTTAGCTGGGGTGGTTGTGTGCTCTACTTTTCAGAGATTATTCCACTTTTTGAAAGAATGACTTCAATATTGCATTAAGTCATAATTCGTTATGCTAAGGTAACATGTACCTTAGCATAATGAATGGTTCCAGTCACTGATTTTTAAACCAGGTTTTATGTCAGCATTATGTGTGAACCCAGCCAAGTCTAGTATATTTAACAAATCGTGATTAACAGAATTGCAGCTTGGCATGATAAGTGAACCCAAGCTATATTTGAAGGTTTCTCCAGTCCAACTTTAGTTTAAAGATGAAGAACTTTAAGTCAGTGGGGAAGCTGGCAGGAAGTTGCAAGTCCAAGGCCAGCAGGCAGGTAAGTGGCTGCTGCCGGGTGGAGGAGGGAGTGATGGGGTACAGCAGAGGTCTGGGATGGTGTTTGAGGGTGCGGGCCAGGAGGATGCACCAGGATGTACAAGGGAGGGAGGGAAGGAAAGAAGGAAGGAAGGAAAGAAAGAAAGAAGGGAGGGAGAAAAGAAGGGAGGAAAGGAAG